TGATTCAGAGTTTGGTTAGGAATTGTAATTTGAACTTCCAAATCTAAATGATCAAATCCTAAGGAATTCTCTTCTATTTTTCTAGATTCATCCAGCCCAAGTAAAATGCCTTCTCTAAACACCACATCCCTGCTTGTAATTCATTTCTTAGTCTCTAAATTCCAGAATTTATAGCCCTTAACCCCATCTGGATATCCTAAGAATAAGCACTTGATAGCTCTAGGTTTCAACTTATATTCTCTAACATGTATATAGGATAAGCACCCAAAAACTCTCAAATTTTCCAGATTCACAGGATGACCAATCCACTTTCTAGAAGGACTCTAAAACCTATTGCAGAGGATGATGTTCTATTTATGAGATAGACAACAGTGTGTGCAACTTCTACCCAAAACTTGACTGGCAATTTAGAATTAGACAGGATACTTCTAACCTTTTCTAAAATTGTTCTATTCATTCTCTCACAAAGGCCAGTTTGCTGTGGGGTATTCCTGACTATTTTGTGTCTGACAATCCCATGAGTTTTGAAAAGATTGTTAAATTCTTCCTTCACAAACTGAAGACCATTATCAATCCTAAGTTTCTTTAGTTTCTTTCTTGTTGGGTTTCAACCATGGTTTTCCATTCCTTAAATCTCGAGAATGCTTCATCCTTAGTTTTGAGAAAATAAATCCACACATGTCTAGAAAGTCATCTACAAAACTAATGAAATACCTACATCCTCCAAGAGAATAATGTCTAGATGGCCCCCAAACATCTGAGTGAATATACTCAAGTGGTGAACTTGAGTAATGTTGACCAATTCTAAATTTAACTCTACTCATCTTCCCAAATACACAATGTTCACAGAAAATCATATTCCCAATTTTATCCCCACACAGTAAATTTTGTTTACTTAGTTCTCCTAAGCCCTTTTCACTAACATGTGTAAGCCTTTGATGCCACAAGGAGGTTTTATCTTGAACCTCTATTGACCGTAGAATAGCCACTCCATAATCTGTTTTACCCTTTAACACATAGAGCCCATTTCTCCTTTCAGCCCTCCTAACCACTAGGGACCCTTTCATCACACTAAGAGTCCCATTTGTTGTCTTGTAACTTAGGCCTGTTGAGTCTAAAGCGCCTAGAGATATTAAGTTTCTTTTAAGGTCAGGGATATACCTCACATCAGTGAGGATTTTGGTTAATCCTTTATGAAGATTCAACCTATCAGTGCCTATGCCCTTGATATGACAGATTGTATTATTACCCATCACTACTTTCCCACTATCTAAGGGTTGAAAGGAACTGAACCACTCCCTATTTGGTGTCATATGATAGGTATACCCTATGTCTAAGATCCATTCTTTAATATTTTTTTCCATCAGAAATGACTAGAACCTCAGAACTCTTATATCCTTCAGCTACAACTCCAACACTGCCTTCTTTACCTTCTTTTTCATTTTTCTTTTTACCTTTTCTCTCAAGACAATCCCTCATAAGATGACGTTCTTTATGACTAAAGAAACACTTCCATTCCCTGTTTTAGACTTAGACCTATTCCAATTGTGTCCTCCTTTTTTTTTTTTTTTTTTTTTTTCCAATTTCTCTTCTCTAATCTACCTCTAACCATAAGACCTTCACCATCACTGCCATGTTTATCTCTCATCCTATTCTTACTATCCTTAGCTGTAATAGCTTCTACAACCTCTTCTAATTTTAGGGCTTGCCTACCATCCCTTAAGGTTTCCACAAAATTAGAGTAGGACTTTGATAAATAATTTAATAGGATTATGGCCTGATCCTCATCACCAATTTCTACTAATATGCTCTCTAGATCTTGTACTATTTTTAGAAATTCATCGTTATTATCTTTCAAGGTTTTTTGTTCATCCATTTTAAACCCAAACAATCTCTATTTTAAGAATAACCTTTTAAACAACTTTAGACTAGTAAAGAGTTTGTTCTAGATTGCAGTAGCTGTTTTCTCCTTCTTAACCTCTCGGAGGACTTTGTCACCCAATCCAAGGATCAAGGAGCTTTTAGCCTTATTTAGCACATCCTGCTCTCAGTTGCTGTCATCGTTTCAGGTAATTCAGATTCTCCTTTCAACGCCAGAGCCAACCCTTCTTTCACTAGCACAACTTCCATCTTCATCTTCCATAAACCAAAATCATTATCTCCTATAAACTTTTCAAGTTCAAACTTAGTTGACATGTTTTCACAGAGATGTTAAAACAACAATACAGAAGAAATACTCTGGTACACGAAATCATTCAAGAGCTAATATTCCAGAGTAGATTACAAACAAGAACAACTGAATAGAACCCTAACGAAGCCTTGAACCTGGCTCTGATACCAATTTGTAGAAATCTAGGGTTAACAATGTATCTTAATCTGAATCTCAAAGGGTTTTAATTTGATGAACAATTAGATATACATGTGTGAATCAATCAACCAACGCATCCAAGATAAACAAATCAACAAAATAGAGCAATCAAAGAAAAAAGGACATTGCAATTTATAGTGGTTTAGCTGTAAAGCCTACATCCACTCTTCAAGGCTCACTTTGGGGTATTATTACTCATGAATAATAAAGCTATAGAGAAGAATTGAAAAGAAAGAGTACAAGGAAGGAACACACTAGAGAATAGCAATCTCTAAGTCTTTCTATGAAAGGCTCCACTCTTCCTTCAATAGCCAACCTGATTTTATACACCCACACACCTCTTAGATCAACCTCCACCTAGATTGAAGCATTCCATAGCCGTGATATGAAGAAATACACTAGAAGCTTCTCCATGTTCACGCTTCTAATGAGGTATAGAGTGAAAAGTTTGTTGCTGGAGAAGTGGATCACTTGACACGATATGTCTAGTGATCCCAAATGCAAAACGGTGTCGCATAGCTCAAGCTTTGACTATTATTAAAAAAGCTTGAAATAAGGATTGAAAAGGTGAAGGGCTCACATAATCCAGCAGACATGTTTACTAAACCAGTGATTGCAGACAAACATAGGCTTTGTATGAGGCTCCTTCAAGTCTAAGAATAATCAATATGGTTTCAAGGCCACTTAGGGTGTTAATTCAAAAGCCAAGGTGGAGAATGTGATGATGTGGCTTACGAATTGCCACGTTTGAGTCAAGCTTTTTTAACAATAGTTAAAGCTTGGGCTATGCGACACCATTTTGCATTTGGGATCACTTAACATATCGTGTCAAGTGATCCACTTCTCCGAAAACAAACTTTTCACTATATACCTCATTAGAAGCGTGAACATGGAGAAGCTTCTATCGTATTTCTTCATCTCACAGCTGTGGAATGCTTCAATCCAGGTGGAGGTTGATCTGAGAGGTGTGTGGGTGTATATAAAATCAGGTTGGTTGTTGAAGGAAGAGTAGAGCCTTTCATAGAGAGAGTTAGGGATTGCTATTCTTTGGTGTGTTCCTTCCTTGTACTCTTTCTTTTAAATTCTTCTCTGTAACTTTATTATTCATGAGTAATAATACCCCAAAGTGAGCCTTGAAGAGTGGATGTAGGCTTTACAGCCGAACCACTATAAATTGTCGTGTCCTTTTTCCTTTGATTGCTCTATTTTATTGATTTGTTTATCTTGGATGTGTTGGTTGATTGATTCACACATATATATCTAATTGTTCATCAAATTAAACCCATTTGAGATTCAGATTAAGACACACTGCTAACCCTAGATTTCTACATTTTCGTATTTAATTAATTCCAAAAGACCAACAATGGGTTTGCATAGTTTGAGGCTTATAATTCAAGATTTTTCAATTGTATTTGATTTTTTTTTTTTCAAATTTAATTGATTCTAAAAAACCAACGACAATGGATTTTCACAGTTTGAGCGCTCACAAAAAATCACAAATACACCCCTTCTATTTATGGAAAGTACAAATATCCCTATACATTATATTCAAAACCAATTCACTACTACAAGTTTGCCATACTTTCAATTGAATACTAAGAATCCATCGTCTTCCAACAACAAAATTTGATTAAAGCAAAAAGAAGTCAAAGATTTTGTAAAAAAATGAGCCATTATCAACTAAACATTGCGAAAGAACCATAAATTTGAAAACTCCCAATTTCAAAGTAAGAACCCTAAATTTGAAAAATACCTTTGTCGAAGAACTTGCACTGCCAGGTGCCAACCTTTGTACAAAATCAGTTGAATGGAAACAAGAACTAATGACAATGGCACAGAATCAAGAGAGAAAAATGAAAAGAATAGATGTGAGACTGTGAGAGCCGAGAGAAAGACGAAGAACCGAAGCAAGCAAATGAAATCGAATTCCTAATTTAAATCAGGTCTTCCAATACAAGAAACAACAAACTTAGGGCTTCGATTTTTGGTTGTGTCAGATTTGGCAGATTTGAAGAATGCAACTAACAGGCAGATTTGAATTAAGAGGCAATGAATTTTTTTTCCCAATTCGTAATCGTAATCAAGTTCTCTTTTCTTATTTAATTGAAACATAAAATTTCAAAATGGTCCCCATATTTTTTTTGAAATTTCAATTAAATCTTAGTTACAATTCCTCGATTGGTGATTTTAGGGGTGGGAGAAATAGTCTGAAACAGAACTGAACTGAAAACCGGTCCAAAACTGAATTAAAAATCTGGTTTTTTTTTTTTTTAATAAACCGGTTCGGTTTTCGCTTTGTCGAAATTGAAAAATCGAAAAACTGATTCGGTTTTTAGTTTCAGAGTAATCATTATACCAAAAACAAAAAGATCCAAAACTAGTGCTCGATTCAGCCAAAATCGAGACCCATTACTGGTGGCTGAAAAAACTGAGTAAAACGGCGTATAGGCCCTATGCCGCTTTCTGCTCATTTTATCATCAGGTTTTTGGCGAGATCGACTCTGTTGGCTCTCAAAACATAGTAATCCCATTCCGGTTAACCGAATCCGGATTATTAAATCAGTTTTTAACTAAAAAACCCTAGGTATAAATTAAACATTACATTCTAATTTACATTTTACACTCTACTGCCACCACCCATCCCTCCTTCCCTCCCTCCCTATTGATTCAGTGAAACTTTGAAAATCTAAAATCTCATCACCGTCAAACTCCACGAACGACGAATGATGACAACCAATGACCACCACAACAACTCCACGAATGATGAATGGCGAAGAGTTCTCTCATCGGCGAACGACAATAATCTGGATTAATTAACCATCACGAGCCCATGAACGACGAACGGCGACGCTTCAGTTCTTCAATCCTCAACTGCTCCATGACCGCTAGTACACCGCCAATTCAGCAAGGTAAGCTATCAGCTAATTTCAATCTCTAATTTAGCCCATTTCTTCTTTTAATTAATTTGGGTGCTGTCAGCTGTGATGTTTTTGTATATAATGTTTTAGGTTCAACATTATTTCGTTTGACCTATGTGCTTATTGATTAGTGCTATGTATGTTTTAGATTCATTTGTTAAGAGTTTTTTCGTTTGACCCATATGCTATGTATGGAATTTGAGCTGGCCATGTTAATTAAAAATACAGGTTTTGATGGGTGTTTTGTTTTCTGGGGTGGGTATTGACTATTGTACATGGTTCTTTTGGTTTTATTTTGTCTTTCCTTTGGGAAAGTTGCAGTTGTAGTGGCTGAACTGTTGTGTACTTGGGAGTCTCGGGGTTTGTTTGGGGTTGGGGTGATGCCGTGATAGGTTGGTGTCAATGGTGTAAAGTAGAAGAGATTGAAAAATTGAAATCAAATGAAGCAATGGCTGTTTGTTCCAATATTCAATCAAAAGCTAGATTGATATAATTCTACTTTAGTGCAGTGTCAGGGTATTTTGAAATCAAATGAAGTAATAGGGGTTTGTTAATGAATATGTTTTGTTGAATATCATAAAGATGTGTCGGAGTATTTTGTTTCATTTAATCTTCAATATATAGATTGATATAATTCTACTTTTGTGCAGTGTTTTGTTCAATCTCCAACATGCAGAATGCGTATGAATTCTTAATTCTTAATTAATCCTGTGTTGCCAATGTTGAAATTGATATAATTGATCATGGAAGCCATGTGTCCAATGGGACAATAGGTTGTATAGAAGTTGAATAATGTTGTGAAGCAAGACAATAATATTGTCATTGATGATTAAATGGTTTGTTTTGTGTTCAATTGTGAAGTGAGCATTAGTTTTGTTTGCTAGTTTGATTAATTAGTTTAGTATGCTGATATATATTGTGATTGATGATTATACTTTATATTTGCACTTCTTAAAAGCTTGTGTTTGATTCCCATATACAGAATACTTAGATGCTCATTTGTGGTTTTTAAGAAGTGCTTTAAAAACTGTGAAAAAGGAGGATAAATAAATGAAAAAGCAAGACTGTAAAACTAAACTAGTAAGAAAGTAAAACTAAACTAGTAAGAAAGTATAAATCTTTATATGGATGTCTTACTTACTTTATGCATATTTTATTTTTATTTGAACTACTTCATGTAGTTAAAAGGGAATTCAGAAGGAAGACAAACTCCACCTGTTTTGCACCACCATGCTAAATTTCAATTTTCTACAGCATTGATATTTTTCAGTGGACATCATCTTTTGCTTTGAATTTCTATTTTTTGGAGAGTTTCTGACTACAAGTTTACTCTACAAAACATGCAGATGCAGATGCAGGCCTGAATTGTTGTGCTTATTCAGTAGCACTATAGCAGATTGAAGAAGTTTGGACTTTGGAGATCTAAATTTTGAAGCGGGGTGTTTTAACTTTTAAGATGGTTGAAGAAGACTTTTTTTATTTGTAAATGTTTTCACTTTTTAATTATCCCAATGTTTTTATTGATGAGTATTGAGTAATGTATAATTGAATACTTTATGTTTTGATTTCATATTCTGGATTCAGCATTTGCAAATAGTTAATTTAATGTGTTTTTCACACAAAAAATATAACAACAATAACCAAATAAAATAAAAATACTGCATGAAATTATATATAAAATAATAAATATCTGAATTTAGGGACTTAAATGTATAAAATGTTGAATTTAGGGGTGAATTCAAAAATTGGTTTGAAAACCGGTTAATTAGATAATTGAACCAAATATTCGGTTTAGTTTAAATTCGGTTTATTCCATAAACTGATCTGGTTTCTGTTTACCTTTTTGCCTAAACCGAAAACCGAACTGGTTATAAAGAAAAATCCAGTTCGGTTAACTGAATAATCTCACTGGTGGTGATTCCTGAAATTTCAATCGCACAGCATGGGTTCCCCTGATTTGGGAATCAGATCGACACTTTATATTATCAGTTTTAGGTAGGAATCGTAATTGACACCCCATATATCTTTCGATTTTGGTTTTATCTTAAAAATTTGCTCATCCCTAGTTTTAGGCTTATAAAGAATTAAAACACGAATTTTAAAGGGACGATAATTTTCACATATATCAATATATATTCATAAAGGGCCACACTATTTTAACACTACTTAACTTACAATGAGACAAATTAATAAACCACCCTTCACTTTAATGTAATCCAATGGTACGAATTGGAGTCTTTGTTGGTTGAGTAATATAGTAAAAGATCGTAAATTGAATTTCTCTTAAAATAGGGAAATAATATAGTGTGGATAATATGCAATGTCTTTTTGTTCAAGTTTCTTCAACCATTATGTTAGGATAAGTTGGAAAGTGGTTAATTTGTGTCTCTTTTTAAGTTAAGAATTTGTGTTATAATAGCATAACTCATCTATTATTTATCAATAAATACTATATAAAATGGGACTTAGATGTCTGCTTGGAAAATACCTTTTTCAATAGGCATAAAAACAATTTTTAACATTAATTAACTACTAATAGAACCGTTTTTATAAATTTGGAAATTCGACGTGGATTAGAATCGAATAGGAAGTAAGCCATCAATTTCCGATCGCTTGAAGATCCATCACTTATTTAGTAGACTCTAATGTTCTCAATCAATTATTTTGTCGCTGCCCACTTCCTTACATGAAGAATTGCTTTCTCTGCCTGCAATTCCCATAAAATGAAGATTAGCTAAATTTAGTTTTACTTGTTGAAACTGAGTTTATAGTTGATAATTAATAACAAAAGAATAATTAAAATAAAATCTCAAGCTAACATAGTTATATGATCAATAATGTCGTTTCCAGAGCTGTTTCAACCATGCATATTTTTGAGCCACTGGTGCTCTCTTCGCCAATTGTCAAGTGAACTTAGATTCACAAAGGTCGAAATTTGGGTGAGTAAATTTTATTTCTTATAATGGAGAAGCACTACAGTAACTCAGGGCTCTTTGTTTACCTCTTTATGCCAGTCGCATCTTAAAGTAATTACTGCCAATATCAAGGTTTGAACTGCTGTCCCACCGAAAATCATTCCAGCCCAAATTCCCTGTTTGTGTTCAATTTCATTGAGTTTGCAAAGTCAGCAACGTAATAGCAACGTAATTCTATATTATATACATACCAAATACTTAAACGTTATATTACCACATTTAAAATACTTCTGCACTAGTACATATAAACACCTCCCAAATTTATTTCTTGCTTGAACAATATAATGATACGTGAATAAACATGCTTGAACTCATATAAGCATGAATTGACTCAAGTGTTAGCATATGATATTTCGTAGATTTCACATTCCTTTTTGTACTCTTTATAAATTTTTCTGTCTATTTTTTTATTATGAAAAAATAATAATAAAGCAAACCGGCACCAAAATGAAAACTTACATACCATAACACCATAGTGGAAGCCCCATCCCATTAAAACCCCAAGGGGAACCCCAACAAGATAATAGCAGCCCAAGTTTATGTAAGCTACAGAAGATTGCCATCCTGATCCCACAGCCACCCCTATAAGAATAAATCACATAAAAACTATGGTGACTTTTCCATTACATAGGTTAAAAATGATCTTGTATAATTTAATCTAACGAAAATAGATTAATTATCTAATAACCTGAGAGAACTGGCTGAACACTATTGAGCAGAATAGTGACTGCTAGCAGAACAGATAGCTTGCTTACTTCATTTAAAACAGGGGCACTGGAAGAGAATATCAATGCAAGCTTATTGTGGAAGATGATTATCAATAACCAAAAGAAGAGGCCAATGATAATTGATGTTATTACTGACACTGCTGTGGCAAACTTGGCTCCTTTTCCATTACCAGCCCCAAGCTCGTTTGCTACTCGAACTCTGTATTATTTCATGAAAAAAACATTAATCCCGTCTTACATAATCAATAATTTTGAAGGGAATTATAAAGTATCTAATATGTCTTTTACTAAAATAAAACTCAGATTATTGGACTATATATGTAAAAATCCGTTTTAATAAAATGTGACCTTTCAAGTTAAATCCATTTGATTAAATCCAAATTAAACGACAATTAATATACAATGTGGATCAGTGTGTTGTGTTGTAAACCACACATCCAAACAATAAGGCTTCCTCTTCATGCTTGTAAAACAAGATATTTTTGGCAAAACTCAAGATAAGCAACAGTGATATGCTGATTAAAAGATTATAAGTTTGTACTTATCCTTTCCCGTTCAATGAACTGGAAAAATAAATAACTAGCTGACGACACTATGAAGAGCATCTAAGAATTGTTTTACAAGAAAAGGAACAAGAGATCTTAAGGAGAAAGCTTTTTCACTTTCAATCGGTGGGCATAAATAGCTAATGTACAAAACTTAGATCCTAAAGTTTAGGATCCAGAATAAAAAATTTAGGAAAGCAGTAATTATCAAACAAATAATTACCCTTTGGTTATCTAGATCATATTTTGTGCATTGGATGGCATCTGAATTATTTATGTGTGCATGTCTCAGTTTCTGGTTTCTTTACCCTTTGGATTCTAAATGATCTAAAGCATATACTTTATTTTGACTAAGCATCAAAAGAATTACTCAACACAAGTACCCATTTCAATATTTTAGAAATTATAATATATTTTCGTATTTTTGTTTTAAAATTTTATTGATGAAAACACATACGTATATTTTATTTATATCGAATAATAAAACGGAAAAGATAATTTTTTTAAAAATAAAATAAAGTGTGCTGAAACAATAAATTTTCCTTTAAATAACCGGAAAATTTATTGGATTAGATACTTTAGCTACCAAATCTGAACACGTCGAAATTCTTGGTTGATTCATTGTGGGGTTCAGATGTCCCTAACTATAGTACACATTTTAGCATTTGAATTTTAAGGATCGTGACATGCGTGTAATATCTAAATGATTAAGACAAAAGAATAATATCAAATTTTTTTGTTACGTTTGAATGCTAACCATGATTCATGAACCTGGACAATTTAAACTAATATTATCCGAATTAGAAATCACTATTTTAAGACATGACATGATATCATCAATAAGGACAATTGAGTTTATTTAAAATTATTATCATTTAATATATTGATTAGCTGTAGCGGATATAGTCTTAAAAAAATTAATAAAAAGGAAACGAGAAGTGTTACCCGGTTGCAGCAAAGAATGCTAAAGGAATCATATCTCCCAGCCATTTATATTCATGCTGCCAAATTAGATAAACAACTGATATCAGTCAAAGATAAAAAAAAAAAAAAAGCCAAAAGTTCTTCGAAATAAAAATTTACGTGCACATGCGAAAAACGGAATCACAAACAAAAACAAATAAAACATTTTCCTACGAAAGTGGAAGCCTGAAGGATACAATTATTTTAAGGTAAAATTTCATGTAAATAATGTATAAGATAACAATGAAAAGGGTCCACAGCATATTAATGAGTATAAGACAAATACCATATAGACAGAGCATCCACTGCAATCTCTGCGTTTGGTAGATTTCCAGTCATCACTATCAATATTTGTAATACCAATTTTCTAAGCTGTAATATAAAATAACAAAAAGATAATGATAAGTTCAGAAAAGATGCAAAACAATGGCGTATTAGAAAAGGGTCAAATTTTCGTGGAAATAAACAAAATTCTCCTCTATCTACTTTTTTTTTCTCACGTAAAATACAAATTTATGATTAATAAATAATAATAAATAAATCTCAATCAAACAAATTTATTAATATACAATCGTCATAGATATGTACAAACTCAAACACGAGTTTCTTGAACTTGTATATATCTCATTAGTATATTGTGTAATTGAGATTTATTTATTTATTAAAATCATTATAAAATTATATATTTCTTACGTAAAAAAAATGAAGAAGAAAAGATCGGACAAGATCTTGGCACAGGGAAAGAGTGGTACCGAGCCTGACACCCGAAGCCGCAGAGAGTTTAACAAATTCCCAAAGACCAGAAAATGCTTCAACTGGAAACCAGTCCATGTATGGGGACACCCACCAGAAGAAACATAACCAAAGTAACCAAACACCAAAACCCACAAGAAAAATTCAAAGTAAGAGCAGCCCCAATCACCAAGCTGCAACCTGTATACAAACAACCAACTCACAAAAATATGCACCACTAGAGCAGCCAAAGCCACCCATGCAATCAATAAGTCTTAAGCTGGCTTTGCAAGAATCTCTGTAATGGAAACTGAAAGGCGAAGCTGAAATGAAGTGGTATCACCACAAAGTAACTATCCCAGTTAGCTCTGCCACTTCTGTGGGCTGACCTAATAGCTTCAAGAATGGTGAGGCAAAAAAATACAATGGCAAAAGAAGAATACAACACAAGAAAAGCACGATCCACGAGCGTTGCATGTACACACCCAACATGTAGTATGTTTGGCCCCAAAGCTTGTCCACACAGCGTTTCTAATGCATTGCCATTCCCAACTGATAAAGGAAATCATACAAATAAAGTACAACGATTGAAGTTATTGAACTGAAAATTAAGAAACGAAAACTTTGTATGATGAATTGAGAAAGTACAAGAGACCAA